TGTGAAGCCCCAGTCCCCAGTACCTGTGAAACTGATGGTTTTATAAGAGGAAAATGTCATGTGAAAGCAGATACTGAGGAGAACACAGCAATGACAGGATGAGGTTGGAGTGATACAATTAGAGCCAGTGCTCACCAATCAGACCCAAAGCTTGGAAGAGGTATAGTCTTCCCCCATCTGTAATCTGAGGGAGCACTACCGTGCCAACACCTTGATTTTGAACTTCTAACCTCCAGAATTGGGTGAATGTATATCTCTGTCATGTTCAGTCATGCTTTTGGAAACTAATACAACCTGTAAAGCAGGGGAGGAAACATACTTGGATAGGAAAAGGGGCTGGTCAAACCCCATGCAGGATATACAAGTCTGGCCAACTCAGTACAGAGCAGCCTGTAATTCAGTCACAGATTTTGCTGCCACCAAGACCTTGACCTGCGGTGACTGGTTCTCTGCAGAGACAGAACCTGGAGGCACTGACAGACTGCGGCACCTGCTAATCACACTCGGTGAGCAGTCTTACCTCCACAGAAATTTAGGGGAAACATTGTCTACCACAGTAAGCCAGAAACAAAATGTCCAGGAGTACAAATGGCAAAAAGTTATTTGTTAACCAGAAATATATAGATTTGCTGATGATTTAAAAATAGATAAAAATGAGCAAAATTTATGTGGAATAAAAAATTTAAGTCACTGGCAGGGAAGTACTGTCATGTGAGGAAGACATGCTACCAGCTGCTCTTCTGGAGCATCTTTTTTATTAGTAGGAAAATAAATGGAATTATAAACTTGCTCAATCCAGCAAACAAAGGAATGAGTAAAACTATATAAGGGAACAAAAAGTCTAATAGTAAGCATGTATGATGGAAGCAAACCAAACATTAGCTTTTACAACAGATATGAATTTGTTGAGGTCTCCTTTCAAATGATAAAGACTATTAAACTGTCAAAACAAACCCAAATTTCAATGTTGAGCTATTTGTAAGAAGTACAGCTAAAACAAAATGGAAAAGAATGAAATTTTGACAGTAAAGAAATGGGCAGGGATATACAAGCTTATGCAAATGGAAGGAAAGCAGGGGGGTGTTGCCCAATATGGTACCCAAGACCAGAATTATTAAATAAGAAAAAAAACCCAACCTATTTATGTAAATTGTAAGGCAAACCATAATAGAAATTCAGGAGAATATGATTAATTGCATGAAATTATTTTAATCTACTTTCATAATTTGATAAAGTGAGCAGTGATGTAAGGCAATAATAATGTTTACATGCCTTATAAGCAGAAATTTGCATTTTCTCTTGTATCTATGAGACATTTACATAAAGTTTGCCTATGCCCATAAGAAAAAACTGAATGATTTGGGTTGTTTTTTGGAGGTAGAGATATTTACAGGAAAAATATATTATTATATATACAACATTTATAATATGTATTTACATAATACATATTTCTCCATATACCCACACACCAGGAATAAAAGAAAAAGACATTGTCAGAATCCCAAAAGCATTAAAAGAAATCATAAGAAAATATCATCTCAACTTTATGACAACAAATTTTAAAATCTAAAGGAAACTGATAGTTTTCTAACAAAATATAAATTACTAAAATTTGACCAGAAAATAGGTTATAAATTCCAAAAAATGAATAATCATAGAAGAATCTGAGTGCATATAAAGGACAGAATCTTCCAACTTTTTGAAAAATATTGATTTCTTAATCCTGGAACCTGTAAAAGTAGGGCAACAAGCATCAAGTTTCACTCATGAAAATATCTTTTGAAAATGGTAGCAAATGAACTCCAAGTTTACTCTAGACATACAAGAATGGCTTTGAATTGTGAACTATCCCAATGTTATAGACTGACACAAGAACAGTTGTGTGATTTTATCAACCCCTGCTGAACTGCATTTGATATTATCCATGAGACATTCCTTTAAAAAAACAAATACATTTAGGGTATAACAGGAAATAAACCTAATATGCTACCAGACAAACCGAAGCATTATGTTGAAATGGTGTTGTATTCTGTAGGATTATATTATAAATATCTGGCTTTGTTAGTTATTGTAACGCATCATTTGTGAAGTTCAATGCAATATGAAAAGAAACAGATACACTGTATCAGCACTGCACATGATTATGATAGAATTTGAAATCTGCTTTAAAAAATTATATATATATATATATAATAATTTATTTTTACATCATTTTGTGCATTTTTCCATCTCATTTGCAATCCCCTTGGGCTTCCCATCACCAAATCCCCCATGTGCCATCACCAGAGTCCAATGCATTTCCCTCCCCTCACTGTTTTGATCCCATTCGCCACTCCACCCCCACAAAATGTCTCTGGGCTATAGCTGTTCATCATTATCATTATTTTCTTGCCTGGTCTGTTATATTCCTGCTATGAGAGAAACCATTCAGTATTTTTCCTTTTCTTTCTGGCTTACTTCACTAAACATGATCTTTTCCAGTTCCATCCATGTTGCTGCAAAGGACATGTGTTTCTTTTTTTTTGGTTGCTGAGTAATATTCCATTGTGTAGATGTACCACATCTTTTTAATTCAGTCATCCATTTTTGGGCATTTGGGCTGTTTTCATGTCTTTCCAATTGTGAATAAAGAAATCTGCTTAATTTTTTTTTTTTTAATTCTGTGAGGGATGTTTTAAAAGGACCAGAGAAATAGATATGTTTATGCAACAGGACTCTCGAGTTTTCCAGTTGTTAGCAGGTCCATTCACTCAAAGACTGCAACAGTCAGATCAGTCTTTTTGTAACGCGTTTGCATGACCTCTCTCGTGGGGAAGATAAAGAAGCAAAACTAATGAACAAATAAAGCAAAAATTCTGAGACTATAAGAACAGAATTGGGGTTAGAAGGTAAAAGGGAAGAGGGTAGGTAAATCGGGTTAAAGGGGTCAATTGTTTAATAAAGAATGAAAACTTAAAAAGAAAATTCTGTGAGGGCATGTGATAGCATGATGGCTTAAAAAAATAGCAAATGAAACCAAACCAATTTTTTTCTAGGAATTAATTACAGTTAGAAATGCAAATAGAAAAATCTTTATTTAAAAGTGTACCAAACTAAACATCTGGCAATGAACTCTATAAAAATAAAACAAATACAAAATAGATACAAGATTATAGTAAAAGATATAAAATAATAATTTAAGAAATAGAGAACTAACATGTTTTTAAATGAGTAAACTTGGCAAACATATCATCCCTTCCCAGAATTAATATGTAGATTAAATATAATTCCACCAAGAATCCCAACTTGGAGTGGGGGGGGGCGGTAAGGAGACATGTTATCAGTTCAATCAATATGATTTTAAAGGCCAGAAAAAATGAGAGAATTGTTAAACTTGGGGAAAACATCAGCTTGGCAATTTGCACCAACAAATATCAGAACATACTGTCATGTTACTGCTTTTAATGCAACATAGTATCAGCTCTAGAATCAGAAAGTAATTTTTTGGAGCAAAATGGAGTATAGAAATAGATTACAGAATAGTACAGTATATAGAGGAGCCACGTGCGCTAAATGTGGCATATCTTTTTAGTTAAGGATAGATTATGAGGTACGTGATCTGCAACAAGACACTGAGGTTCAATTCCATGGGCAATAAAGAGCTAATGTTAAAAATAGAGGAACTATAAAGATAGAAGAAAATGCAGGAGAATGTGTGACTACATTGCATTAGAGGACACTCTCCTTAGTAATACAGCTCATTAAGAGAAAATTAGTAAATCTGACTATATATAGATATAAAATGTCTGTATAACAAGGTATCATCAACATGAAAAGATGAACAAGGGTTTGCAATTTATATGCCAGATTATGTTTCATATAGTAGGCGATCTTATAAATTGATTGTAAGAAAAAAAGGATAATCAGCACAATATCAAAATAAGGGCATGATCTGAAAATGTGAGTCACCAACAAACCTATGAAAATTGCAAGTCCCATTAGTGGTAGGAGAACACAAATTTCCAACTGAGATGCCATTTCTGCCCATCAAGGTGCCAATCTCTATAAGTAGGTACCCTCAAGTACTGATTGCTTCAGCCTTTTTTATAGAAAGAGATGTAGCAATGACCCTTCAAATGGTTGATGTGTGTATCAACTTTGGCCAAGTCTCTAGGATTCTTTCCCATAGAAATAAAAGTGCTAGAACTTCTAAGATGTTTGAATAAGGTTGTTTGTTCCTGCTCCGGTTTTGGTAACCAGACGTGGGAACAGCTTCAGTGTTCATCTACAAAGGCATGCTTGGTTAAGCAATGGTTTATTCATCTTGGGGAAAAGGATGCATGTATTTTTACATGAGGCCAGTTTTGAAAACAATATTTAAAATATACTGGTAGGAGCAAGACACACACACAGAGCACAAGCAGAGAGAAGGTTTTGGAAGAATATACAACAAATTGTTAACACTGCTGACTTTATATTCCTCAGTATTTTTTTAATTGATGACAGTGAATGATTTTCTCTGTAAAAAAATGTAACTGTAGCAAGAGTTCTGTTGAGCAGTTGTTGAAGTTGTAGATCTAAACAGCCCTTCTGAAAGTCACAGTTGATTTATCCAGGGAATAATAGTGAAAAATTGTCCTGGCATCATCAGAGAAATGCCTACCTCACTTCAATTTCCCAAATCCCTGTGATTCATTTGAGCAGCTGACTTGTTTTTCTCTTATGGACAAAGGGCATTTAATAGCTGATCATTTCATCTTCGCTGTGACCACTAGGACTCTCCATGTCAAATTGGAGTGTACAGAATCTTCAGTGACCACCCATGGCCATATGACTACATTCTGTATAGAGCCTACCCTGCTGGCATCATCTTTCCCCGCCATTATTTTCCCCTCACACACGTTTCTTCCTGTTGGTTTAAACTGATCTCACTATATTTATTCCTGTAGCTGCCTCTGATCCTTTTTGGGCCATGAGGTAGGATATAAATAAATAATGACCAATAATTTCTCTTTTAACAGGAACCTGGGAAGAAATACAGTCTCAGCAATGAGTAGGCCGCCCATCCCGACCGACTACAGATGACTTGGCATTGCATTTACAAAGGTAAGAGAAGATGGTCTATATATATATATATTTTTTTTTTTTAATTTTCAATTTTTTTTTAATTTTACAAAAGTTATTTTTACATCATTTTGTACATTTTTTTTCCATCTCAATTGTAATCCCCGTGGGAGATGGTCTATTTTTTTTTTTTAAGATTTATTTATTCGTACAGAACAAGGGTACAGGCCAGAGATGCGGAAGGCGAGAGGATTCACCAGAGACAGAGTGGGGAGCAGAACAGGCAGATCGATAAAGTACACTGCTGAGGGGAGCAGCGGGCGGGTCAGGAGAAGTCTGCCACGCCATGTGGATTTCCTCCGGGGCAGGTGGGGATCGAACTAATGCGGAAGTGGCTTAAGCTTCTTTGTGCTGTGCTTTAACCCACTGCACCACCAGGGAGGGCCAATGGCCTATATTTTTTAATGGACTCCAAATGACTCATTATAGAGAGAGCCCCTACCTCATTTATTATATTATTTGCAAGTCTTCTAAATCATGTATTTAGTGCCTAACCTTTCACTTTGACATTATTAAATTGAAAACTGCAAACAAGTAAGAAATTTGTGTATGTCAGCATGTCTAAAGTGGCAGAAGCCAGGCGATGTGGTCTCTGCTGTTAATTACTGTTTGTGCTAAATTTTTTAAAATTTCCTTATTTTTAAATGTAGCTGTGCTTACAATACTGCAGGGTATTGGGGAATATGGCAAAGTGTGAAAATGAAAATCCAAAGCATTCAGAGTCCCATTATATGGGCAGCAGTCCTTCTGCCCACCTGTGCCTAAGCTTTTTTTCACCAACCTTCTCCCTTTGCAAAGCAACAGACAGCTCTCCCCTCAAGGCTGCCTGCCTGTGACTAGGCAGGACTCTCTTCTAGTCAGTCTGTCCCTCTTTTAGCCAATCAGCTCCTTCTGTCTGTTGGCATATGTGCAAATGTCCTTTACTCTTCTCTCCCTTTTTGTAATAAACCTGCCCTTTTATAAAATATATGGATATAAAAAAAATTCCATCATATGTAGGTAGTCCATAGTAGTTCTGTGAATTTCTTTCTTCCTTTCCTATATGTGAACACACACATACACACATGTTTTTTAAAAGTATAAAACATATTTCTAATGCAAACTTACCTTGGCTAGCATAGTTATAAATGTTGCACCCTACCTGGTGTGGAAGCAACAAATCTAGGACAAAAATAGCAATTATGAAGTGGGCCATTTTAGTATCCACTTATCATTCACCAAAACATAGGTGGCATCTGATTTGCTCTCCTACATAACTGTCCTTGGTTAACAAATCCATGTGACCTTTGTTAAATATTGCCCTACAGAAAAAGCCTTTGAATCCAAGTGACAATTTATGACCTCTGTTTATCATTACTATCTGTTCTGTGTTGCTTAAAGGGAAATTTTTTAGTATTTCTAATGTATCTATTGAAATTTACTATCTAAAATATCATTATGTAAATATACAATTGGTGTTCAAAATCATTAGCTATTATACATTATTTTTTCCATCTCAGCAGCAATCCCCATGGACTTCCCATCACCAATTCACCTGTGTGCCATTACCCCCACCCCCCCACTCCCATTTTTGATCCCATTCCCCACTCCACCCCCGTAAAATGTCTCTAGAATATAGTTGTTCATTATACTACTTTTATCATCATTGGTACATGCTAGATTGGAGGCACAAACATGCACTAAAGAAATAACCAGAAAACCAATTAAACATGACAAAAGTGTCCATCTTTACTGTTAATCTTATAATTGCAAAATAATGTATTTTTTTCTAAAGTTAAATAGACAAAAGATTTTGTTTAATTTCAAGTGAAAATACTTGCTGCTGTGAGAACCATCAAGTAGTTTTGGTATTTTATCCAGTCGTTTTATGTTACCTTTGGCAGGTAGGAAAATGTTTATAATCTATAGTTAAGTGAAAATAACAGATTCAAAATTATATATTATGTTTGATCCCAGTTTTGTTGGAAAAGATCAAATGACAATAAATATTGGTAATTATTTCTGGGTGGTGAGATTAAAGATGATAGTTTTGTTTTTTGTTTTATATTTTTTCAAATAAAACATTTTACTTAGAAAAAATACTAAATTTAAATTCTAATTTGAAAATTACTTTTATGTTTTGAAAAGTAATTATACCTTTGATTTTCATAGAGACTTCCTTCCTTTGTTGTTTTGAAACTAAATTCCAAATTAATTTTCAGATAGCTTTGAGAACTGTGTCAAGAAAATGAAAACATGTCATATACAGTAACATTTTAAATTTAGAAAAAATGGTTCTAATCCTATATGGAAAATATTTCTAAAGTCTCTGTGAAATTTAAATTTTTGTGAGGAGGTACAGCCACAAAACCACGATAATAAACGAGTAAACTCTTTAGTTGTTTGGACACCAATGACAATTACAGAAAATAATAGTAATAAAGCAAGTTAAGGGTTATGTTGGGGCAGAGAGCTGCTGAAGAGGTTGCACTTTTCAAGACAAGCTGAGCATCAAAGAGAAGTTGATATTTGCGCAAAGACCTGCGGAGACAAGCGGCTCTGGGGAAGACTGTTGAGGCTGAGGGAAGAGCTGAGGCAGAAGCTGCGATGTGGCAACATGCTGGTGCGTTTGAGGATCTGAGAAGAATTTGAAGCAGTGGAAGTGAGAGGAATAACTCAGAGACCTGAGGTCAGGGAAGGAATAGGAGAGGATAGGTAAATCATATAGGCTTCTAGGGTAATGTGAGCACTTTGACTTTTAATTCTGGGTGAAATGGGAAAGCGTTGTAGCAGCCTAAGGAAGAGTGGCACGATCTGAGGAGGCTTAAGAGCGGATGATTCTGGCTCCTACAGTGGAGTAGACTGTAGGAGGGGAGCGGGAATATCAGGAAGGGGAGCTGCGCTTGCTGACAAAGGGAGATGACTCAAGTAAGCCATGCTTGAGTTGGTGACTCTGCCAGGAACATGAAGGAGCAGTAAGACAACTTGGACTTCAGGTGCTTTTCAAGGGCTTGGTTGACCTGTTGACTGTGGTATAAGAGAGGAACTATACCATTGTGCATCACATAAGAAACTGACTTCAAATAACTAATTAAAAGTCAAATGCCACTACCTTATTAAAAAGTGAGAGAACAAAGTGAACAGACAGCACAGGGGACTCTGGAGGTTAACTATGGGTGCTTGGGTGGTGCGTGCATTATGGCAACAGTGCCTGAGTGGGGGGAGGGACTTCCAAAATACAAGCAATGTGTTACTGCAATAATTTTTTTAAGTGAGATGAATGTGTATTTAAATACCTGATATCTCCTAATGAAAAAAAAAAGTCCCTAAAAATTTTGGAAGAAATTACAAATGTAGTCAGTAGGCAAAAATATACTTTCCTATGTCATAACTATCAAATAAATTGAAAGGCAGTGCCATATAGAAAAAAAACTAATGTGCTTATAAACAGATTAATAGCCTTAGTATATAAAAAAGTCACCAAGGAAACCACTAATACTAATTACTACAATAGTAGTAATAACTAAGTCATTAAGACCACTGCAGATAAGTGGACAAAACAGTAGAAAACTCAAAAGAAAAAGCACAAAGAGCTTTTCTAAAAAGATACGCAAACAGTGTTAACATTCATAATAATTTTCAAAGAAACAAAGCCAGGAGATGCTTTCTTTTGCCTGTCAAATTAGCAAAGATTAAACAATAATAGTCATTGCTAAGTGTAATGAAACCAGCTCCCACTCACTGCTGATAATTTCATGGCAAGAAATTGAGCAATATTTGGCAAGAGCTGTCATATCTTTTTAATTTTTATTGAGGTAGTGTTGATTTACAGCACTGTGAATAATTTGGAGGAATTAGCTTCAACCTTCATCACATGCATGTTCCCACCAAACGTCACGTGGTTTCCAAGTACCCACAGTCCTGTATGCTAGACTATAGAGCCCCTCCTTCCTTGTTCTGCTCCTCAGTTCTGCAGAGACCTTGAGTTTGTTTTGGTTTAGCTTGTCTGTTCCTTTCTGTTGTTTCTCTGTATTCCACACATGAGTGACATCAGCTGACAGTTTGTCTCTCCTCCTGACTCATTGCACATAGTATAATCACCTCCAGTTCCATCCACGTTGTTGCAAATAGAAAGATTTCACTTTTGATATAGAAATAGAGATAGAGAGACAGGCAGCAGACAGGTAGCTGAGTGGCATTCCATTGTGCACATATTCCATAGCATCTTAATTTAGTTATCAGTCCCTGGGCTCTTGGGTTGTTTCCACAAGTGGACTATTATAAATAGTGCTACAGTTAATATAGCAGTGCATATATCCCTTGGAATCAATGAATATATCTTCAGGTAAACATTTAGGAACTGAAATGCTAAATCATATGGTATATCAGTTTTTAATAGTTTTCCATAGGGGCTGAACCAACAATGTAAAAGTTTCCTTTTCCCTACTCCCTCGCCCATACTTGTTGCCCCAGGTTATTTTGATGTGGCCCATTTGGGTGTTTGGATTTGCATTTTTTAATACCCTCTGTATCCTAGTAGTTTTAGGAATTCTGGCTAAGAAAACATTGATGTTAGAAAAGATAGAAGCACAGTATAATTGTTTTTGTATTATTTACAGAAATAAAACCCTTAGACCACCTCAGCTATTATTTAGTTTTAGCATTGTTTACCAATAATGCTTCAGCAGTGATATATCTTCCAACTTGTAAAGTTATGATTCTTGCACTTAGATTTTTATGATCAAATGGTAAAATGCTCAGTGAAAAATGCTGAGTAAGTTGATGTCAGAATATTTTCTTTATGCAAATACATAGAACAAAAGGTGAAAACAAAAGGTAGAAATATGGCAAAATATGCATTATGGAGTTCCCCAAGAGCAGGAGAATTGAACAGTTTTCTTTTTGTTGTTCTGATTTATATTTTTGGTACTTTCCAGTAATGTTTATAGGAAATATATATAGCAAAAAGAAAAAAATTGTAAAGCCTTTGTAGACAGACACCTTTACATATGATTTTACTTGGCTTCCATAGTGTCTTCTTAGAGCTTAGTTATTTCTTTCTTAGGAATAAAGAAAATCACCAAAATCTTCAGGCATCAGTTTTATTTTGGAGAGATTGTATAACACAAATTTGTTTTGTTTTTGCTTTTGGTTTTTAGTATTCTGAGAAATCTTTTTCTTTCTTGGAGACTTAGGTAGCCAAAGTAGATCCTCTTGTTAAAAATATGAGCATATTTTATGTCAGAGTAGAGTTGTAAATTTAAATGGTACATTTTTGTCTTGTAGATGTCGTCCGCTGCTGAAAATGGGGATGCAGCACCTGGAAAACAAAATGAAGAGAAAACCTATAAAAAGGTGAGTCTTCTTTTCTTGGCTGAGAGGAGCACTCTTACTGCTGGCAGTGTTAATACTGTCATAGACCTTCTCTTCCCCCATCGCTGTCATATGTAAGTCACTGCCTTGGTTTCCTATTGCTGTAAAAGTTAACCATTAGCTCAGTGCCTTAAGCAACACAGAAGTTTTCTTCTCTGTAGGCCTCAACTCTGACATGGCCTCAGTAAGCTAAGACCCAGGTGTCTGCAGGGTTATCTCCCTTTTTAGCGGATCTGAGGGGAAGAGCCCATGTCTTTGTCTTGTTCAGCTTCTCCAGGCTGCTTGCATTCCCTGTGTCAGGCTTCCCTTCCAACTTCAAAGCCAGCAAAGGCCTGTGAGTCTTTCTCAGGCTATATCACTCTGACACTTCAAAAGAATTTGTGATTTCAATCAGCCCTCATGGATAATCCAGGATAATCCCTTTATTTTAAAGTCAGCTGATTGGCAACCTTAATTTCCTCTCCAAACTTAACTCTTTGCTGCCATGAAAAACAATGTATTCACAGATCCTAAGGATTAGAACATGAACATCTTTGGGGGACATTTTTCTGCCTCCCACAGTTATCATGTTATAAAACATTGATATAAGAAAATTATGTGAAGATCCTACTTATTTCTGAGGAACAGGACATGTGCACTATTCTGTGTCCATTATGGGAATCCTTTAATGGACTTATATCTTTCCACCAAAATTTTAAACAGTATTTACCTTTGTATTTTAAACAAGACTTTTACCATGAACTATTCCTACTCCTACAATTTTTATGCAGATCTCTTTCTAGAATTTCCAGGGTATCTTAATTTACCACTCTTTTGACTGATAAATTCGTGGTTCCTGGCAACCATACTAATGTTCAGAAACATTGTTGGGTATTCTATGTTCCCGAGCACCACTGCTCCTGATACTTTATAATAGTACAAAGTTGTTTATTTCAGATGCATAAACAGTTTTCAAAGATCATTAGGTTCAACAAAATTAGTCTGCAAAATGTATTGGGCTCATTTACCTTTTCCAATTTTGTTAACAGGCCTCAAAGTCAGACTCAGTTCCATTCCTACCTATCTGTAATTCTTGCACCAGCTGCTAGTGTTCGGTAACTAGTACACCCCATTAACCAAAAGAGTTGACCAATAATCAGTACCCCACATATCCCCAAAGACATAAGAATCTTGGCATTTACTAAGTGTGTCCACCCACGAATTTAGTAAAGAAAGCTTTCAATAACATTCTAGCTATAATGCTATGATCATGCTTACCAAGATGTTTGATGAAACTATGTTAGAAAGGTTTTAAAAACTAAAAATTCTAAGATAAATAAGGGAAATGTTAGAGATGTAAGAGGACTAAAAACTAAAAAGTATTGGTGGTCACTTTTTTTGGTGTGTGGTAGCATCGGGATTTTTTTTTTATGATCTCTATTTTTAAAAGGAAGATAAGCAGTGGAAGCAGAAGTATGTAGCATCTCTGCAAGAAATGCACCAGAAACAGTCCAGCTCCCAGGAATGTACTCGTCAATAATGTAGTACTGATTTGCATAGCAAGAGAAAGGAGCCACTTAGATAAAGTGTTGTTTTATAGACAGGCAACAGCTGAACTATTTGATTTAATTCTTCTGCTTTAAGCAAGAAGATCTTCAAATTGTAGCCATTAATGACAGAGTTGGAGAAGTGATCATAAGAGTCACATTAGCTATTGCCAATGTGTTTGCCGCTAGGATGAGATTTGAAACATTGGGAGGGTGGATGAGTTGTCTAAAGCAGGAAATAAACAAATATCCCTGTTTTCAAAAAATGAGAAGTACATTCAGGAAGCTGGTTATAAGTGAGCTGTTCTTGACTTAATTTTAGCATGGGTTAATAAATATGGTTTATGCATGTTTAGAAAAGAAACACGTCTTTTACAGACTTGTCTATACCAAATTAATGACATTTTTTATTATGAGACATCTAATTAGTATGATAAGAAAAATGCTCAAGTTTCCTGAATCGTGATTTAAATGTACCTGGAAGCTTGTATCCTTGCAGAGATTGTGAAGATGTATAAGTTAAATTTTCTGATCAATGTGTTTGTATGTTCCCCAAAAACGGCAGTTTTGTTCCCCAGTCACTGATGCGTGAGTCAGCCAGTGTAGCTTAGTGGTTTTTGCCCATGAATATAATGAAAGTATAGAAGATGTGCTTTGTATTCAGATGTGCAAGTGGCAGAAATCTGTGAAAGACAACAAAGACTAGATAAGTGTCACAAAGCCACTACTTTGTGAGTTATTGACCCTTTTAATTTAAACTTGAATTTCTGTCCCAGTCCTAAAGCACTGACCATGACATACGCATCTTTTTTAATAAGGAGCTTTGATGACCCATTGGGCTTTTGTCTATGACTGAAGTCAGTCTAGTAGGCTCCAGATTAAGAACCTGGAGAAGACATGAGAAGATATCAAGTGGGGAACATAAACTATGGAAACAGTTTTTGAACATAGTTAGTCTAAAGCTCAAAAGAGGAGAAATCTTATGGGCTGGGTTAACAAGCAGGCTTATGCTTTCTGTGTCCTGGGCCAGATTTGTTGGGCGGCTGCCAGCCACACTCAACATCACAAGCGCCGTGATCGCCACGTGTTTTTTAGGGAAACTTCAGTGTTTATGGAACAATGTGATACTCAATTGTTTATGCATGCTACTTAGACTGGCTGCTTTCTGCTCTTCCAGTTGACCTTTTCCCTAATCCATTATTAGTTCTTGACAAACCTACAAAGAGTAGCTAAAATCAGTTGGTGAGGTTACCATCTCAGCTAATAGCTAGAATAGGAATTGTGATTTCAAACCAAACATGCTACCCATTAAGACAGGCATTAAGGGCTTTTTGGCTGTGTTTACAGAGTGTGATATTCCCATCCTGGGTGCATTTGCTGAATGTCTTTCACAAGAGTAACGAATGCAAAAGCCTACTGGTGGGTAGCAATGGAGTGGAGTAACTGGAAGAAAGTGGTAAACAAGTGAAGGCAAACCTTTTTTTGAAATGGGCAGTTAGCATTCAGCTCCAGCTAATAGAAATATCTCTGACTGTTCAGCCATGTTTACTAAATTCACTGGTTTAAAAAAAAAAAATGGGGGTTCTGATGCAAAATCTCCCAATGTTTAAAGATTGGCAGCTGATCCAAACATTTTTTTTAACACCCTCTGTACATAATCAAAACAAAACACTGTAGCCCTTATGTCTATACAAATTGTTTAAGAGGAAAAAATATAGGCTCGGGTGAAAATTTAAATAACAACCCAAATTGGCTTTAAGTGCCAAGACAAGTGGCATTTCACATAATCCTCTAGCAAGTCCTGACAAGCCCAGAGCTCATTACAGTCTTCTGAGGCGAGTCCTTTTCTTAGACTTGTGAGACTAGAGCATCTCACCGAAATAAAAATTTTATACACATTTCATTAATGTATCACGACAGACCATCCATTTCTTATCCAACTGTGTCTTGATTTACCTACTCATTTTTCTCCATGATTGGGAATCTGATGGGCACAGGATTAAATCACAGATGAATGCAAATTACTGGAGCAGCAGGAGAAGCCTGGTTGAGGCAAAGGTGAGGGCAGTGGCAGGCAGTTTTCAAAGTGTGGGCTGGTTCTAGGGGACAGGCCACCTTGACTGCTGCTTTGGTGAACTTGTATTCCATGCTGGAGGCCAACACGGTCCATTAGAACTTTCCACAATGGTGGAAATGTTCCATAATCTGCAGGAATGCTGTAACTAACAGCTACATGTGCTCTTGAGCATTTAAAATGTGTGGGTCTGAGGGGTAAATTTTTTAATTCAGTTTTAGTTTATTTAAATAAGCAGCTATGACTACGTTACTAGTATACTTCATCACCATATTGGGAGACTCTGGTTTTCCTGACAGTTGCAGGCTCTGTGGGTGTGACAGTCACCTGCCTTTGTCACCAGCATCCCACCTCCAGGAGCCCTAAACCTCCTTAACAGATTTCCACCATGATGGACACTCTTGTTGACATCCCTCAGAATATTCTAGTGGGAAACTAACCAAACTGGAGCATTGACAGTGCCCTGGACCCACGTTCACCAGAACTTCTCTTTTTGTTTTTTTTTCTTTGACTTTTTCCCAAGTCTTCATGCATCATTTATTTTCAGTGTCTCAGCCAGTCTCCCTGGCAGTGAAGACAGACAATGATGAGGAGGGAAGGAATAATGCTGGCCCCTTACCACATTACAAGGCGAGATGTCTTTTATAGCTTTTTAAACATCAGCGAGATGATGAATCAGAGATGAATATTTGATCTAAGAGGAAACTTTTATTTATATACAAGCTCTTTTATTAAATATCAGGAAGGTGCACAGGTAACTGGTAATACTGGCTGCCTCTGGGGAACACAAACACAGTGGTTGAGTTGGGGTAAGCTTGTCAGTATGTCTCTCTGCATTTTTAATTTTGAACCACATGAATATATATATCTATGCAAAAGTTAAATAGGATTTTAAACATGGCGTGGGGTAGGGTGGGCTGTGAGATCAGTGTGCGTTCCATGTATTGACCACTCTTCCCTTCCTTCAGACTCTAGAAAGCCACCTCTTTCATAAAACAAGACACCTGCTTTCTGCCCTGGTAGGGGTGCAGCTTGACAGTCATCTCTGCCTTTACACTGACAGCAGTTATCATGAATAGCAGCTGCATTGCTCTTTAGGGGGAGTGATCCTTTGATAATCTGGGCTCTGTTCCTAATTCCCCTATTCACTCTAAGCTGGTGGTTCTCAACCAGTGAACCAGTGCACCTTTGCACATGCACCCCCAACCCCCACAGAGAACATTTAGAGATCTCTGGTGTTGTTACAGGGGAGAGATAGGTGCTATCGTTGACATCTAACAGGGAGAGGCCAGTGTTCTTACAGCCTACAGCTCACAGGACAGAGCCCATAATAGAGAAAGAAGGGACTGTTGCCAGCCCTGGAGGCCAGGACACCTTGCTCT